AACAAAAACTATTTCTTAATATATTATTTGATTTTACAATTTAATAAGCAAGTTGCTCAAAGTCAGGCTCTCCGAAGATTCTTCAAAGTGCTTTAGCACATCCGCACAAATAACCTGCTAAAAGAACTTAGACAAGAACCAGTCAAAAAATAAATAAGGGACAGAGACCTGAAGCTATTCGCGAAAACCGATAGGCTGCCCTACTTAGCGCTATCTATGTTAATCTTAGAATAATCTCTAGCCACATGGGGCGGTATGCGGTTCTTAGATCAGTCATCGCATATTCACGAAGCTTTTGAGGAATACATAAAGTAGTCAGTGAGAAGGGTGAGACTCTGCAGAAACTTCCCAGCTATAAAAGCATAAAAGTGCTCAGATACACTTACTCGGAAAAGACATAACATGTACAAAATTTTAATTAATTAAAATGGAATATATTAATTGTTTAATGTGAGAAAATATTTTATATTCTACAGAATTCAATAGAATTTTTTATTTTTGCAAAAGTAAATACAGTGAAAATTATATTGACACTCATCGTATTAAAAAGTGAACTCCTATTTGTTCCAGAAAGTTGCTTAAGGAAAGGGTTTAAGGGTTCAGTTGCTTTTGAAAAAATTATCTAACTGAAGTGATTATTTATTAACAAAGAATGGTGTTCATTAGTAGAATTTTCGCTATATACAATTTTTGTTCCATACCAAAATTTTTAGTCTAAAATTGACAATATTTGAAAAGAGTATCTTCAGTATTTTATTTAAAAGTTATATTATATTATATTTTATTAGCTCTAAAATTATTCACTAAAGTTGATACGCTAATTAACCCCGCCCTAACAATCCTCAAGTCCACTTCTGGACTCTCAGAAAGATATGCTGATTTAAGGTCCGTCATCAACTAAAAGACAAATAAATGATATGTTTTTTTTTAGCCTAGTTAAAGCCTAGTGTGGGGTAGAGATAAGCCCCCCAGCCATTATAGAGTAAAAGTGCGTAATAGCACTAACTCAAGAAGAAGAAGAAGAGATAGAAAGCGATATATTAATATATTATTTTATTTAATCTTGTCAAAAAAAAAAAATATTCTATTATTATTATGAGTATTTTAATTTGTTTTGTAATATTATTTATGATGATTTTTGTCATTGTGTCTAAAAAAATTATTTTTTATTAAAATCTATAAAACATTTTGATTATAAAATCTATTTTTTTTTTATTTTTTTTTTTTTTTGGTTTTATGCTTTATTATTCATAAATTCGCACTCTTTATTGCACACGTTGGTTGCACTTTTGCTTTTGACATGTGAACGGAATATTGTGAATGTTAATTAAGAATTTTATTTTCAGCTTAAAATGAAAAAATAATGCAATGCATAGTACAGAAGTTTTAAAATGTATGAAATATGAAAACAAAAGTAATCAATACAGAAATAACAAATATTAAATATATTTATATAAACTATCTATAGATATACATATATATGGTATGGTATATATATTGTATATATTATAGAATAAAAATAATTGAAAGTGGCATTACAGCTGCAGCCAATAAATAAACAATAATAAAATTTATCATTAAAATGCACTGCCGTGGAGCTTCCACATACGAAAGAACGCACGTGAATTTTTTGTGAATCCTCCTTGTTATTTTCACTACGATTTTCGATTTTCGATTTTCGATTTATACTTTTGCGTTTTAATTGCCTCAAGTGCTGATCCTGTTTGTTTCTTTAACATTTATATTTTTAATACTTCTTGTTGATTTATTAAATATAAATTTTTTTGTTTATTTACCACTACTGCATTGTGATGTCAGGAATATGCACGCATGCAGCGCACATGTTAATCCTTTAACGCCCATTTGCCCTACCTATCATCCATCCATATCCTCCACACTCAGGCCATCAGGCCATCTGTGACCTTTGCACCATTTAAATGCACAAAGCAAACGCACTTTTTAACAAATTTAAAGCATACATCTTTTTATCGTATTTATCGAAATTTTTTTATATAAAATTTTTGTTCCTTTGCATTTTGTATTTGCATCCGCATCTGCTTCCGCAACGCGGCGCCATTGTGAGGCGCCCGCCACAGTTGTGTGCTTGTTGCTGCTCTCGTCCTCTGCAACTCGTGAAGAATCCTCATTATGGGGCATTGTGTTGTGTGTCATGCGATCGTCCTTGTCTAAACATATTTGCGGTGTATCGAGCTGTTTTGTGGTCAAATGATGAATTAATGATGATAGTTTACTGATGGATTGCGAATTGTTGGTATTACATGCCGGAAATAGATTCTATACATATGTCCATCCACCGGCATTTATATATGTATGAATTTGTATTAATATGGCATAATTAACAGGGTGACAATATATATTCAAATCAAAGTATCAGTAAAAATTAGCATTAATCAAGTACTTGAAATTACAATTTTTTATAAAAGGGTTTGAACACTAATGAAGAAACAACAACAAAAATTTTAACTAATTTATTGAAATTTGGCTGATCATAAAATGTTGATCATACAATATTCGAAGTTTTATTTAATTAGTTTATAGTCGGTATATAATTTGTTTGGACAGCAATTGCCAGGCTTAGAACTCGTCTCTGTCAAATTATTTTTCTTTTTAATTACCAAATAATAATTTTTTAAATAGATGTCATATAGGCAATTAGATTTTTAGCTTTTTTACAATATTAAAAGGCTGAGATTAAAAAATATTTTACGATTTCCAGATATGATATTGATTGGGATTAAGAAAATTAAAAAATAACGAATTGAAATAAATGTCCATAGCAGTACAATTAGACAACCAATTTTTGCTCAAGAAGCTTTTTTGAGAAATAATTTTTGCCACTTGAAAATTTGTTTCTCTACCAAAATTAATTCAAACAGGTTCTATTTTTTCTATTGACTTTTAATAATAAAAAACAATACCTCCAGGTATCTCAGGTACATCAGGTGCTCCTGTGTAGGCACTCTCTCTCTGGAGCTTTGCTTGACACAACATTATCTATCTATTATTTATCCTATAGCTAATATTGAATATGAACTTAGAAAGTACAAATATAGATGGAACTAATAATTTAGTACTACTACTTTTTGTTTGTAATGCGATCACTTTCATCAGTTCTTCAGTTATTTCTAATAGTAAGCTAATTATATATTAATAGTAGTAAAAATCAGATTAATCATTTCCGAAAAGTTAATCGCTTAAAAAGTAAAAATTTTTACTTTAAAAATCATAAGGTAGAAGTAGTCAAAATAAATACATATATAAGTTTTGTAGAGTAATTGTTTCTAATTGCTTTAAAGACAAATCTACAACTCAATTGGCAGTTAAAAAACACTCCATCAGACCTATACCTGTTCTACACAGTACGAGGTAATGCAAGGCCGCTGCTTAGAAAGATATCGTCAAGGTATAGTCGAGTGCTTCATATATACAAGAGTTCTATATAGAGTGGAAATTTATGGCGGAAAATATATGCAGGATATTGAAATTGTGTGATCAATATATAAAGAAAAATTAATTTTTAATCATATTTATAATTTTAAAAGCTACACCTAATGTGACCTTACGTCCTGAAGAAGAATCTCCTTGTTAAACTAAAATCCAAATACTAGATCTCAAAGAATTTTTAAATTTTCTGTTATTTTGAATCTTATATAGATAAAATTTAAACATATAAAACAGATTTTACTGGCTTACGTTTAGTTTTAGAATACTATATAAAAAATATAAAAATAAAATAGATAAATGATGACTACTTAATAGGCAAATATTAGAATATAAGTCAAAAAAATGTTTAATTTTTCTATTATAGTTAAGGTGTTAGACCAGCCCTTCAGACATTATGGGCTAACATTGAGTTCTACAACTTTTGCATGGAAATACCTATTATGTCAGCAAATAGTTAAATGAGAGTTACTTAATAAACTTAATAGTTATTAGAAAAAATGTTAGAAATTAGAAAAAATTGTTCGAAAAAGTTTTTGAATATTAGGTATTAGTTGTGGTGTTTAGAAAACGTTGAACTTGCTATTGAAAAAATAAGGACTAAATTTAATATATAAAAATAAGTTTTGTTGACTTAATTCGCTTTCAGTACAATGTTGTGTTATATCAAACTATTATTAGCGCGTATATATCTTTCTTGTCGTAGATAATTAGCACAAAAGCTTCATTACGTCACCCTGTATAACGACATATGCCAATTATTTGCTTTAACCTCAAAATATATTCACGCAAAAAGTCGTTCGAACGCATTTAATGTACTTCAACAAAAAGTCGCGATTTCAGTTTAAATGATTTTTAAATAATACTGTGAAAATTTACCTTTAAAAGCCACAGTATGTTTTTAATATATTATTTTTCTTTTGTATTTTATACATTAATTTTATTAAAATGTTTTAATAATCGTCATGAAATTGACCACAAAGTTAACAAATAAATAAATGCCGGCCAACCGCAAAATATAAACTCTTCCATAAAAATTGCGAGAAAAAAGTAGAAAGGATGAACGTGTGTCGCACACTCACTCGAATATAATTGCCACGCCCCTCACCACAATGTGTGGCACAGCAGGCGAACGTGTGGTTCACATTTTTCAAATAAATTTTGTGCTATTCATTTGTGTTTGTTCTGATTTTGTTGGAATATTGGAACACATACAAAAGTCCTTAAAGAGAAACTCAAACAAAGTTGTATGTATATGCGAATTTTCGAATATATGAATTTTCGTATATATGTACCGATTTATGTATGACGTACTCGAATTTTAATTATCACACATTTAAAGTTAAAGTAAATATCAATTTAAAGTACACTTGCTCAAAATTTGACTACACAGGATTAAAACTGAACATGTTTAATTTTTTATCATATCCATATCATATCAGAACATAGATTCAAAAAACAAAAAAATATAATACTATATATAATAATTATTTGCGTAATACATAAATAAAATGTGCCTTTACCAACCACAACCACAGTCCCGCCCAAGATTACACCATTTTCATTCGCCCGCGATCTGAATGTCGGCGACCGTACGAGCATTCAATGTGTCATTGGCACCGGTGACCTACCGCTCACATTCACTTGGCTTAAGGATGGACAACCGCTACAGCCGGCAGCCGCGCCGTCTCAAACCATTATGATGAATACACGTGACGGCGGCAGTGTTAGCGGTGGGCTTAGTGGTACCGGTGACGTTGCTGCTGCATCGGGTCCCGGCGGCCCACATCAGGCGTCGGTAGCAGTAATGACAATGATGACCCGCTCATCGCACAATGAACCGAATGACGATGGTAGTAGCGGTGGTGTAGGCGGCGGTCAAGTGACAATTCGCCAAAATGATGATTTCACCAGCGCCCTCAGCATCACAAGTGTGACGAGGGCTCAAAGCGGCACATATACGTGCCGCGTTCAAAATGATGCCGCCACTGTATCGCACTCTGCACAGCTAAGAGTTAATGGTACTTTTATTTTAATTCACGCACTTTAGTTAATCTTTAAGCTTTAGTTCTGTTCCTTTTTGCCACTAATTGCTTCTATAATACAATTTGCAACTAAACTATATATGTGAATGAGCTTTATAGAATTTTCGTTATTAGTAAAAATATATTTCTTTATCTGTAGCGTTGGTAACGTTAAAATTTTAGTTGAAAAGAGTAGAAGCAAAAATTCATGTTGCATGAAAATCGCTTGACAAATAAAAAATTAGTAAATAAATATGCATGAAAATTAATTAATTATTTATATAAACAACGTTTTTTTCATAAATTTATTTAATATTTTTTTAAAGCTGGTAGCGGTAGAAATCCTCACTGTAGATTTTATTGCATTTGCAAATGTCCTGTAAACAATGCGAACATTGCCACGCTGAGTTTTTTATGATTGTATGGTTGTGTGTTATTTTTTAATCAAATTGATCAAATATTTCAACAAATATGAGAAAATATTTCATTTAATTAAAAACAAAATATGCTGTATGTGTGTTATGCACAAATAAGAATAAATCCTTTTTTTTCTTTTTTTTTCTTTTGCTGTAAAAACACAGAAAAGCACTGAATTACTTTTTAAGTTCATGAAAATTTCAAATATGTGGACTCGTAATATCAACATAGACTTATTTGCACTTTCTACTCAACATAACCAATATGGGGTCCAAGCTTAATAAAAATTTAGGTCACGTCAAAACTAGAATCCTCGAAAGTATTACCAATAACAAATTCATTGAACTGTTTAGAGTTATTGAGTCAAAGCAATCTTTCAATCGAGTATTTAACAAACATTTATGGTTGAAGCTTTACTGTTAAATAGGAACTTTTATTTTTTATGTCCATATCGATATTGACTATGTATATATCATTGTATATTTAGTTTTTGGTGAATATCATACTGGAACCTCATCTATTGTCAATCTGTGGAGAGACTCTTTTTAAAAAACCTAGAGAAATCAAGATTATTTTTATATCTCTTGGTTCCAGAAGTTTTCCGCATTAAATTCAATGACTACGTTATAGAGGTACTGCACTTGCCACTTGCCAATCGCCAGACAAAAGCAAAGAAGATTGACGAATATATCAACTGTATCTCATACAATGTGTAGGTATCAAGGCCCTTTAATCTTATCTTTTGATAGTTAAAATTAGTATCTTAAAGTAAAAAACTTGTCAATATTTTTATTGTTGACTCCAGTAAGTTTATGCAACTGAGTCCAATGTAGGGTTTAGCGCAGATTCTTCTACATAAAATATTCTAGTTAAATAAAATCAACAGATAAAATTGTCCCATTAGTTTACTCCCATGAGTAATACACACTTTTTAAGTGATAGTCACAATAAATATAGGTGTACATTTTACTGCGTTTACATAAAGGTATTTCTTAACTTTTTGTACGAACCAACGTTTTATATATATTTATTTACCGTAGTCCACCATCTGGAATATAGATTGTTCATATAAAATCTTCAATTCTGTTTGTTTAAAGTTAAATGCCGTAGTTCTTTCAAAAATATACTGGTTTCATTAAAAATGGTGCGCTTTCATGTGACCTTAGGTTTGCCATCTCTTTTGCTGTCTTGCAGGTTCCATTCCAGAGTAGCATGACATATTTCATCGTGTGGTTTTCTTAGTCTATGACCGACCTAGCAAGAAATATGGAAAAAAAGGAAAAAAATGAGCTGTAACGATAGCTTTAAACAGTTTAACGCACTAAACTTAGCTAAATGTTTATGCTTTCATAACATACCTGGTTTAGATCAAACTAGCCTTGATATTTCGAGCTATTTGCGCAGTTGTTATTTGTCTCATTAATCGTTTAGAAAAGAATACCGAGAGTCTTAATATCCCTTGACAGTGTTCATTATTATAACCAAGCGTTATTATTTTTTTCCTTGCTTTGAATCGTTAATATAAATATTAATCGACTTGCCGCTATGTACAGGGTTTTAGTCATGCCTTATGTCTTAATAGGGACAAAAATTTTGTATCTGTTATCGAAAATTGTGTTTGAAGCAATGAAGCCAATATTTTATATATAGTTTTGATGTTAGTGATCCTAATTTGAATGCTTTTATCTTTTGATGGAGACATGCCAAAAAACACTGGAAGGCAAGAAAAAATTATTATTATATGTTTAATTATGATAATAATAATTATTAATAACAAACATTTAATAAAGTTTAAAATTGTCTTATGTGTTCTCAATGATGCAGTTCTTATAGTCTTCGTTATGATAATATCAATTTATTTTGTCCATAGTTTTGTTATGAGTTTCCGCTAATGTTGAAATAAAATCTTGTAAGAGAAAAATATCTAACAAATTTTTATTTAATTTTTAACAATTTTTTTTAATATTAAAATATAATAAAACAATAAAAAGTTACTATAACTTAATTTAAAAATATATTTAAAAATCTAAGTTTCTATTTGTGCATAATACATAGGCTGCCAAACTTCTAAACAAGTATGAGTACGAATGCTTCCCACATAATTACATATTATACGTATCTAAAATCTCTCTGACACCATTTATTATTCTATTTTTACTTATATTTTAAAAAATAATAATATTTCATTATAAATAAAATATCATGGATTATATTGAAGAAAAAAAGTGCAGTATCACAACTTCAGCACTTTTTCTAAATGCAATATTGTTTAAGGTTTCCATCAAAAGTTTACTGGAGTGATTAAGTTAAGTAATTAATTAAGTAAAAACGAATTTAAAGACTCACAAAGTAATTAATATAATGGGTTTCTTTAAGATTATTGAAAAACTTTCTTAAGTCTAATTTTTTCCTATGTGTAATTCTATTTTATTTTTATTTCCCCAACATTTTCATTAATAAATAAAGAAAAAAGTGTGCAGAATTTTAAAAAAAAATGCAAAAAACAAAGTGTCTTGGATGCAATTCATAAATATGTTTATAAGATTAATTAATAAAAGCAATGTGCATAAATATGTGTCCGTATATTAATCTAGTGCCACCACGCATTTCGCCTTTTAATTTTGAGAACGAAATCACGGAAGGCATGCGTACACAGCTAATGTGTTCGAGTAGTCAAGGCGACCAGCCATTTAATATAACCTGGCTAAAGGATGGCATTCCAATACTAAGCGGCGATGCAGCAACGAGTAACAGCAACAAAGGGCATATCGATTCGCATGCCTCGAGTGGGACAAGAAACTTTCATCCACCGGATCCGTCGCTCACCATTAACGAATACGCACCCTTTTCCAGCATTATATCCATACATAATGTAACATCACGTCACAATGGTAATTACACCTGCCGCGTTACCAATCGTGCTGGGTCTGTTGAGTACACGGCCGTATTATCAGTTTCGGGTAAATTAAAACTATTTCAAGAAATATAAGTAACGAAAGCACAGCAGTAATGCATTATTTTGCACCAGTAATCATAATTATGCACCAACAAAAACTAAAAACTAAAAAATTCATTTCAAAAAACATGCAAAAATACACAAGTTTTGAGAGTAAAAAATACTCAAATATTTCGATGTTCATTTTGTAGTTTTTATAAAAAGATAATGCAAATAAAAAACTATTTCATGAATTTCTGTGGTTTCACATTGTTCATTGAAGTATGTTCTGGTAAAAATTGTTCTAACACCATCACATCAGGGATATGAATGCAGTACACAAGAATTTAAAAAAAAATATTAAATTTTGAATTTAATTAAAAGTTATGAATTTTATTCATTTCCGCCATCAATTTAAGTCACTCACAGGGACTTCATTTGCTCTGTTTCCAGCATAATCAATAATATTATTCATACAATTTTCCGTAAATAGAAATATCTAATTTTAATATTTAACTTATAGCATACATCACCTTCAATCTTAAGGTTCTCTAATTCTTGTTAGTAATACTTTAGTACATAGTTTATGGTATATTAGTTAAGTATAATATTTTAAATATAACATATCCCTCGTTCAAAGGTGCTCGAATATTCTTATTAGTACTATTTTAGCATTTTACAGTTTATAGCTTATAGCATATTAGCTAATTTTAATGTTTTAAATATATCATACCTCTCATTCAAAGGTATTCTCTTATTCTAATTAGTATTATTTTAGTATTAATTTAGTATTAATAGTACTTAGTTTATGGTATATTAGCTAAGTTAAATACTTTGAATATATCATATCTCTTGTTCAAAGGTACGCTAATATTCTTATTAGTACTATTTTAGCATATTACAGTTTATAGCTTATAGCATATTAGCTAATTTTAATGTTTTAAATATATCATACCTCTCATTCAAAGATATTCTAATATTCTTATTAGTACAGGTTTACGCTGTAAAATATTGACCAGGTATTGAATATTGAATATACATCAACCTTTCTTTTGACGCCTTTAAAGTAACTCCTGTCTGAAGCAACTTACATGGGCTGACGATTTACCCATACGTGCATAAACTTTCTGTAGACAAATTTCGATATGGTTGTTAGTTCCTACAGCGATTACGCTTTTATAGCTTCAACGGAAACTAAACGTCTTCCTTCTCCATGAAGTCGTCATTTAAGTCTGGAAAACCGGTAATAATCATACGCTGCTATTTCTACTAGATAGATAGAGAGATTTTGAAAGGTTTGGAAGCTATATCACCATGTCACTGCATTCTTTGAGAATGATATGATAAACCTATATTAGTTCCATAAGCCTGAAAAACCGCTAACAATCATGCTCAGCTGTAAAGCTCGAACCCATAATGTGTTACATTACTATCCACTATTCAACAATAAAAAGGAGTTGTAAAATCTATTTCTATGGTAATCTTTAAAATATGTTTTCGGGTCAACTTCATAATATATTTAATAAAATAGCCACTGAATAAAATGGAACTGAAACTAGATGTTACTACAATTATACTAATTATACTAATTATACTATTATACTATGTTTTCGTTTGTTTAGAAGTATTAACAAATTATTTGTAAGTTTAATCTATTAAAAAATAAGTATAAATAAATAATTATATTAAAATATGTAGTAAAGCGAAGATTTAATGGATGTGACTTTAAATTTACTCGTAATAAACGTTTTGAGAGTTCTCCGGTCAGCTTTTTGAGAGAACTTCACTTTGTTTCCCTTCACCTTCTATCTAAATTAAATATGAATTAATATATTTTCTTCATTTAAAAAAAAGGGGCTCAATAATTTTGCATTATCTTTTTATAAATCTTTTCTTAAGTCAATTTTTCACAGTGTTAACAAGGCAAATAACGCACTAATGCACAAGTGAGTTGATGCAACGCACTAGCACGGAGCACGGAACAGCACCATCGCACGGTATCGTACCGCACCTCTGCAAAAAAAAAAACACAAATCCACTAAAATGATTCCAATGAACTTAAAATAAAAAAAAAAACAAAAAAATATTAATATTTGTAAATTATTTAAGCAAACAAAAGTGGAATTATATTACTGTAAGCCGCACTTTTAATCTAAATTTCATTAAGTTTTCTTGATTTTGGTTCTGTCATTCACTTTTTTGCTTTTGGTGAAGACACCAATTTTTTAATTTTCTTTCTCAAGTGTCTACATATAGTACAAGCGAATTTAAATACCTCCGTATCTACAACCTATAACGTAACGTTTGCTAAGTAAGGAACCTTTTAATAAAACATCCTTGTGACGTCTTCCAAGCGGGGTTTACTTATTAGTTATATATGATATTCTATATGATATATAGAACCAGCATTATATCATAAATTTATTATGAAAAATAGCATCCGCAGTTTATTTCAAAAAAAACTCGCCAAAAAATTGTTATTGGTTTAATTGCAATAGACATGTAAGGCTCGAGTTGGCTTTGATCTCTATTAATTCTAAAATGTAGTTTTCCGATTTTTTTTTAATATATTTAAAGTTACTCCACTCACCTTTTACTTTACTTACAATATATGTTATAATATTATAAAGAGGTCAAGGTTCACACTGGGCTATAGTGCCCAATGAGAAGAAGATATATTTACTAAAGATTTACTAAGATTTACTAAAAAGTTACTAAAAGTAATGTCTTCACTTATCTGTTTTATGTGAAAGACAACTGGCATGTATTTTTCGTCCTTTTTCGTAATTGGTTAGAATAAAATAGTTCAAGATTAGGCTCATGCAGAGAGACACAATTGCAATTGCTACAACGGCCCAAAATATTTACATGTCGTTTACCTAACAAAATAAAAAGAGAAAAACTATATTCAGAGAGTACTAACCAAAATTTACAAAAAAATTTCAACTACGCTCTCGTTGAGAATATCCGCAAGGAGTTTCTCTTGTGATAGCCTCTGTAAGACAGTTGTCCGAGTTCTTTTGGCAGTGGTAATAAACTAAAAAGGTCTTCTCTCGCTCTCGTTGAGAATATCCGCAGGGAGTTTCTCTTGTGATAGCCTCTGTAAGACAGTTGTCCGAGTTTTTCTGGCAGTGGTAATAAACTTAAAAGGTCTTCATGTCCGCTTGTTGTTTCATATATTGACACTTGTGCTAATTAATAATTTGTTATAAATCTTTTTATTGTTTTACAATCCTTGCTTATTAATGTATCATATATTTGGTAAGTTGAAATAGAGTGCTATCTTTAAAGGTAGAACTTATTCATTATAGATTAATAGCCCATATATTCATTTATATATATATATAAATATATACAATATAAAACAGTACATTTGCATGAGTATATGTAAAAGCAAGCATGAATTCTGGCGCTATATTAGCCATAGTAAGTTAATGGTAATGTTTCTAAGATATATTACAATCATGTGATAAATGCATATGCGTAAACTAATATAAAATAATTTCACATTCGATTACATCACAACAAATACAAAACACAGTGCCACCACGTTGGATTTTAAAGCCCACCGATCAAGATGCCATACTCGGCAATCCAGTTGTTATAACATGTAAAGCAGATGGTTTTCCAGTGCCTACAGTGCAATGGAAACAATCGATTGGTAAATTGTTTACATTCAAACCAATAAATATGCGCAATTCTACTTTAAATAGATCATTTATAATAAACAAATTCCGTAATTATAGGTGAATCCGGTGAATATCGTGAACTAAGCTATGGCATTGGTAATGGCAACTCACAATCCGTCATTGAAACATACAACAATGGTTCGCTTATCATTCCAAAAGTTGGTAGAGATCATGAAGGTAGTTATCTCTGTCAAGCCAGTAATGGTATCGGTGCAGGACTAAGTACGTTAATTAAACTAACCGTACATGGTAAGAAGCATTCGTTCATAAAAATTTACTTTACTTATAGTATTTTACACAATTTGTGTCGCCTTATGTCGCCTATTTTGAAGATCCTGGGCATCACAAACTGTGGGTACCTTTTAAAAATCCAAAAAAAAAAAAACTGCATATGAATGTGAATGACATGGCTTTAAAATGCACTTTATTGGAAATCAAATTTTAATGAAGTGTTATCTATTTTATGAGGTGGACTTATGTTAATATTAGTTTCTTCTGGTACTTCAATTTCACAAAAATTTCTATCGCTTTGAAGTCTAATTTGAAATTATTATTTGGCATTATATTTTACACACATAATTGACAAACCAGGTAAACGTTCCTTTTTTTAGCTATAAAAATGTACCTTCACTATAATTAGTGATCATCACGCAAGAAAATATTCTTATAGCAAACTTTCACATTCCGGAAAGCATCACTCTGTAAATTAAAATGGTTTCATTAGAATATGTAAGGCTAAGATACTCAAGTCCACCGATTCATTTGAAGGGTTAGTAAGCGATCCCTTGAAAATAAACACATAAACATTCAGGACAGAATTCGGGACATTATTTGCATTTATTGAACTACTCTTAAGCTGTACAGTCAATAGTGCTTCTTCAAAAAAATGAGAATGTACTGCCAGTGATTTTTCTCTGAAAACCCTATATTAAACCAATATATGGATGTTTTCTTTGACCGTCTATTACTACGAACCGAAATGACTATGTGCACTATTGATACAATCAACAAGAACTTGAAATTGTTTTATATCAAAGTCCATTGTAATGATATTATTTCGTAAACTTAATATTGTCGTATTGTTAATTCACAAAAGGTCATTCCAACAGAATTGCTTTAAATTTTTTTACTCATTTGAAAAGACTCTACAGCTTCTTGTTTATCCTGGTTAATAGATCTTTGTGACAGCTAATACCAAAACTTTAAAGCTATTATATAATATAGACATTTTGTAAAACATTTAGAAAACCAAAATTTACAGACTATCGAGTTTTCGAAGGAGACTATATATAATACTTAAATAGAGACACTTTATTATTGATGATACATAATAAGTAAATGAAAAACCTCAACCAACCGACAACATCAACATCTATAAGTCAATGCGTTTGTCGCCTAAAATATAACATATAGGTGTCCAAAGAGGTCTAACATTTGTCTTAAATTTTTAGAAAGCTCTTTTTCTCACATATATCAACTGAGTGTCTAAATGAGCAATTAATCATTTATGTTCACACCCACACCCAAGGAAATATTGGAGAGTTTTCTTCAATTAGTTGTTTTAAAATAAGAAAATTTCAGGTCTGAAAAATCGAAAACTTGTTGCCAAAAAAATTTTGTGATAAGTACATAAATTCTATGAAACAACTATCTTATATAGTTGCCTTTAGCATTGGTATTTGCTGTCCGTGTCTAAAGGTGACACTAGCGTATTGGATCTGACATTTCTAGTTTGAGATGACCCACCAAAATTTTCAAGATACTTGAAAATCAAATTGATGATAATAAATTAATTTGTCTAAGAATAATTATAAAAAAAATTTGTTTATTCTTATGACTCTAATTAACCAGCCCGATTACCCATTTCAAAAAATAGAGTGTGTTTAAGTTATTATAATCAAAATAAATGTAAACTCTATATAAGGTGACAGATATTTACCAACAACGTCAAGATAACTACAAAAATTTTACACGTTAACAAATAATAAGCTTGCTGATTAATTTTTCATTGAAATATAGTTGGGCCTTCGGTCACAATCTCCAAGAAACAAATGACAGTGCGTCGTGGTGATAGAGTTACTTTACGTTGTGAAGCAGATGGTGATCAGCCATTAGATATATCCTGGCGCGCCAAAGCAAATCGCATTGATCCATCGTACGATATACGTTATCATATAAAAGACTCTCCACTGAGTCGTGGAATTGTTTCGGAGATGACTATATTACAAACAACTCTTAGCGATCGTGGAGAATACTCTTGTATTGCAAGCAATACATATGGTCATGATCGAGCTATTATACATCTCCAGGTGCAAGAACCACCTAATTTTCCGGTAAATTTACACGTAACAGATTTAGGAAGTCGTTCAGTTACACTTGCTTGGTCACCAAATGATCAAGATTCGATAATGATGGGTGGCGGTGGTGGAAATAACCGAGATTCACAACCTATATCCAATTATATACTTCAATACAAGAAAGCAAGTGGTTAGTTGAAATAGTTTACTTAATACAGTAAAACAGATATTAATTACACTATTTCTTTTTTGGTTTGCTTTTTTAAATGCGCAGATGTCTGGCATGAACATAACAATCAAAAATTACTGCCAGGTGACAAAACGACTGCACAGATCAGCTCATTACGTCCAGCACAAGCATACCATTTTCGACTTTATGCAGAAAATCATTTGGGAACCAGTGCACCTAGTGATATATTATTAGTACAAACAGATGCTGAAGTACCTAGTGGTCGTCCTCAGGACGTGTCTGCCGAACCTTTAGGTGCCCAACAATTACTAATAACGTGGCGACCACCCGAACGCGAAAGCTGGAATGGTGATTTACTTGGTTATACTATTACTTATCAAAGACATGGTACCGCAGATAGTGTACAAAATTTTACAAAAGTTAGTAGTTTAGGTGGAGAAGGTTTAAATGATTTTCGCCTTACTGGTTTGGAGAAATATACTCCATATTCAGTTACAGTCTCAGCATTCAATATAAAAGGTGATGGGCCACCTAGTGAGGTTGCTATAGGTCATACCTTAGAAGACGTGCCTTCAGCACCACCTCAAGGTGTGACATGCATTGCACTTACAGCTCAAAATATACAAATTTCGTGGCAAGCACCACCTAAAGAGTCTAATCATGGTATTATACAAGGGTATAAATTACTTTACGAACCTGGAAACATTGAATCGGAGTATGGAGCTCGCGAGACAAAAATAACTTCAGCCTTGAGTACTGTTTTGCATGGACTACAACCATTTACAAATTACAGCGTGCAGGTACTAGCGTTTACTCGAGCTGGCGAAGGTGTAGTGAGTCCAACCGTGTCTTGTACTACAGAAGAAGCCGTTCCCGATGCGCCTGAACGTGTTAAATCTGTTGTAAGCAGTGAAACATCAGTAATAATAAGTTGGCTTCCACCAAGACGACCAAACGGTATTGTAACGAAATATAATGTATACATACGCATTCTTGACAAAGGTCAGGAGTTAAAAATACTTAAGGAAGTACTTCCAGCGCATAACCGTCATTTTGAAGCGAAAGACTTAACAACGCGCGAAACCTACGAAGCGTGGGTTACTGCATCAACAAGAGTAGGTCAAGGTCCCAGTACTCCGGTGATTAAATTAATACCAAGCGCTTCAATACCAGCCGCGATTATATCCTTCAGCCAAACCTTGAGCGTCAGTTGGCGTGTAGACATGAAGTTAGCTTGTGTGTTTGTAGGAAATCCAAAACCACAAACAGATTGGAAGGTACTCAATGCTCGTTCCAAAAAGCATTTCCGCTTAGAAATCAGTAATGACAATACTTTAACATTGCGTAACATACAACGCACCCATGAGGGCAATTATTCTTGTGTGGTAAGGAATGCAATTGGTTCTGATCACATCGTATATCAGTTATTTGTGCAAGGTAGAAAGAATCTTTGTTTTTAATACTATATATTAAATATCCATAATATTTTTTTTAGTACCACCAGCTGCCCCAACACTTTCAGTTATTGGCAGTACTACCAACTCAGTATCTTTACAATGGCGTGTTGACGATATAGGTGGTGCTCCTCTGCGTGGTTTCACACTTACTTTTCGAAAAGAATTTGGCGATTGGGAAGAAATTCAATTAGATCGCCGCATAAGCTCTCATCTGTTGGAAAATTTACAATGCGGTACTCGATATCAATTTACAATTATGACATTCAACAAAATTGGAACTAGCGACACTAGTGCTATTGAGACGGCGAAAACAAAAGGTAATATTCTCCTCTTGCAAAACCAAATTTTTCTCATGCTTCTTTTGTTTTTTAACTTGGTTAAGGTAACAAGCCTATTGGACCACATAAACAAAGCTTTATACGACCAAATATTACATCCGCACTATTGGAACTGTCTTCGTGGCAAGACGGTGGTTGCCCAATATTATACTTCAGCATAGAGTTTAAGCGTTATGGTATTTCTAGTGATTGGATTATTGTTTCTAGTCGTATAGAAACACACGTGAGTACCTGTGATATATAAATAATTATCGAAATAATTTTATGTTATACTATTTTGTATTTCAATAGACTCGATATACAATTGGAGATTTGGAAACTGGGGCACCATATAATTTACGTGTTACTGCTCATAATAATGCTGGCTCAACAGTCAAGGAATACTATTTTGAAACTTTGCATTTTAATGGTGTTTCCGCTGACTTGGATCAGACAGATATGCCAGAAGTGCGGTCTTTGTTCAGGGATGCTCATTTAATAGCGGTTATCATAACATCAGTCTTTGGTACAATACTTGCACTGGTCGGTGCATGCATTTGCTTTAAAAATTGTAAGTACATATTTTGATTTGGTGAAAATAATTTTTTTTGGTTGGAATAATGATTAGAAATTTTATTTAATTACAACCCAAAGACTTTCAATATTAAAAATTTCTTATTATATTTGATTCTAAAAATGTCAAAAGGGTTAGTGTCATTTTTAATTTTCTTATTAAAACGCGTCAATGCTGAAAACCTTGATTATGTACTTCAGCTAACTTGAACTCATTTTATTCTACATATTTACGAATAAATGGTGCATATTCATGGCGTTAGATGAAGTAAATAACTCCACTGCAGCTAAAACTACTTATGTTAATGTAATTAAGATTTGATCGTTTCCATTGGCATCAACTAATTTATGCATGAGAAATAGCTTGTTTGTTTACATTTTACATATAGAACATACGATATATATTTGAAACGATATATATTTGGTAATTTCCCTTATGAAAAAATTATTTTTAAGGGTTGCATTCGACATTTTTCACTTCAAATCAGTTTATTTATTTATAATGCGCTCATTTATATAAAAGCTCTTTGTATGGTAAATTGTCTTTATTAGTGACCTAAATGAGCAAAAGTGCCTAAATGAGACTAGTGGAAACATGGTATAAGTTATTTTAATGTTGATAAATTTAAATTTGAAAAATTAAACAAAATCGCGGTAATATATTTCACTTAATGCTGAAGTAGAATTCAGTTCCATTAGCTAGAAATCCTACCTCATTAGCCAGCTTCGCAATTTTTTCTAAGTATGATGATAAGTTCTGTACCGTAGAAAGTTCAATATAATAAATGAAACCGTGTATTTACTAAAATTCGGTTATAAGTACATGAAATATGTTTCAGATAAGAATATAAGCATTTAGAAGGTCAGAAATTATATCACTTAATGTACTCTCAGATATAACTACTTACTCAACTGTTACTTATTGCCAAATTCCGCCAACTCCTCATGTATGACTTAACAACAACGCTATCTGTGTTATGACATTGTCTATTTGTGGCGCTATTAGGATGTTTGGTTTTTAGGGATGGTTTATGAATTCGATGCTGATTTTTTTTTCTGTGCTCGCTGAAATCCCACAGATCATTTTATAAAACTTCACGTTCATTCAACATTTGGTTACAATTTTAAAAATTACTTGTTTACTCCACCCCATTTCTGCCTACAATATGAATATAATATCAAAGATTTCTGTATGATACTTAATAAATACAATTAAATAAAGTTTAATTTTATTTTTTATTTGAGTTTATAAAACAAATAACTTTCGAAAAAAAAAAATATTTACCTTTGTTTTATTTCAGATCCCCGCCAATTATTTAGCCGTAATGTGGATTCCATGCGACCAAATAGTGGCAGTGACGGAAAGGACATACAACATCGTGAACAATATTACGGTACGGTGCGCAAAACTTGCCAGCAATCACCACGAGAATCGGTTGCTGGACTTGAGCGCATTCCTGAATACTCTGAAGATATCTATCCTTATGCTACATTCCATTTACCAGAACATGAAAATCAATCGGCCAATATACCACTCAACCGAAAAGGAATGCAACCCATGTTTGATCCACGCTCCGGAGATGATAACACACTTACAAGTTCTGGTGCCAAGGTTAAACGGTCAGCTTCAGCAAGTATTGGTGGTGGCAACAACTCTTCAAGTGCAAATATAGGTAATATGCCCGGGACAACATCAGCAGAATGTAGTCACACTAATACTGAGAAGCGTCATAAACGGCGTTCTAAAGCAATCAAATCTGAATCGGAAGAGTACGACAGTCTCAACAGCGATAGCGATTTAAGTGGAGAGCGTATACGTGATGACTCGCGTAGTGGTAGAGACTCTAACAATCAATTAGATGATTCAGGATTTAATCGTATGTACTTAATATGCACAAATATATATTAAAAATAAAAAAAACATTGAATTTGTTTTAGCAGCTCACGGTCACAGTCCTCGCAGCGGTAGTAATAAGGAACGCCTGTCGGTTTTTAGCAGGCCGCAACTTCATAGTAAGTTAGTACCTATTTTGCTTATATTAAAAATAATCAAACTTTATGAAAAATACCCAATAGTCCATTTCCATTCACGTAATAAATTAAAAAAACCACTGTAACCTGCACTCTTCCGAATGTCCCATTTCCCTTAATATTATACTTAATAAACGTTCAAGTGGCTCTGAATGCTACTATTAAATATTGCAATAAGACAACTTTATTTTTGTTATAGTTTCCTGTAGAATAAATAATTTGTTTATGCAGAACCATAAAATTCTGATGTAATTTGTATGTAGAAAATATTTTGGCGATACGCAAGAAAGATTCCACGAAAGAGAGCTCACGCACTTCTAAAAAAGAGTGTCTCACCTCTGCTACTACCGAAGTTACTACAAAAAAATCTAACAAACATCAAATACCTACTGACAAATTTCCAAAATCATTTTTCCATGCTATTATACCCTCCAAAATAATGTCGTCAAACGCGCATGCAACCCATCAAGCACAACCCATTATTCCTAAACAACTACCAATTTTAGCTAAACCATCATCACCCCAACCAATACAAAAAGTTATGAAAAATCCCAAAAACCACCAGCAACATGCTTCTCACCAACTGCACTTGCTGCAACAGCAACGATCCTTATCATCATCACCTCTACAAGTATCACAATCACAGCCTCCACCACTAATTCAACCAACAACAACTACGACAAATTTACAAACACCGATGCGTCCCCTTTCACCGTCACCACCTTTTCGTTATGAATCATCATCATCATCTACCAAGCACGAACGTTTCGTTATGACTCCTAACCAAAAAGCAACAACAACTGTAAGCAGCAGTTCACGCAGTAGCCCCAATGCTCTAATCCATATCAAGTCATCGGGTAGTGGCGGAAGCGGTAGTAGCGATATTGTCGGATACCACAAACGTTCACTTTCTTCTAGGCAAGAGCAAATAGTTGTGAATATAATCATTTTTAAATGTGTTTTTGGTTTCTATCTCTCACCTTTTTTAATAATTCCTTTGGTAGACTTTAGAGAGATTACAATCCGACAAGTTTCACTACATTTTTTTTTGGTCAAAATTAAACTAATTTATTTCTAAATTATTTTTTGAGCCGCTAAATCCGAAAATGATAATCAAGTGAAAGTTCTAAAAAGATAAAAACTATTTACCGATGTACATACATAGTTAAAATATCGAATGCTTTTCGTATTATGGTAAATCTATTCATAATATGGGATCGATTAAATGGGACTAAGAATTTGACGAAGAGAATAAAATTAACATTCAATTGCATCATTTTATCAATTTATACTAAAGTCACAATAGATTGCTTATTTTTCATAAGAATTGTTTAAAAAATAGTTTAAAATTTGATGGTACATAAATACTACTAAGTATACTGAAAATATTTTTAAGTCCAAAAACTTCTAAATACCACTGATAACGAATTTTTGACGGTATCGAAACAGCTGTATTCTAAAGAATTCAATTGATTAAAAATTTAATTATTTTTTGGATTAAAAAATATCTACAGTATTGCTTTGAAATAACTTTTGAAAAATGAATCTTCAACTTTTCGAAAATTTTTTGAAACCTATTGTTCACCAAATAGACATCGAAAAATTCGAAAAAGGAAGATTTGAAAAATGCTCGAATCTATCGTTTGTATTACATGTGCTTCAAAAGTGAAGTAGTTCTGTTTTTCGGTGGTTTTAGATTAATTTGAGCTGCTGAGCTTAAATCTGCAGCCCGTTTTTCTGCTAGACATGTGGGTGTCTGGCAGGAACGGTTTAATATTCAAAAATTGAGGTTTTAAAGAGCTAACGAACAGTCTTTTATTTTTAGCAATATGGATTTCGTATTTTTTAGCAAATTTGCTACGATTAAATAGATAAACATTTTTACCCCCCTCAAATATTCCTCTCTTCCTTTCAATTGAAAGGATATCATATTTGCAATATTTTTTTAAAATTTTCTTCATCTACAAGGTGATTTAAAGAAATATTCGAAAACTCTGTGTCATATAGTGTTAACATTTTCGGATTTATCGGGTAAAATTAATTTGGCTTAAAGGAAAAACTTTGTCGGCTAGTGTAATTGATAAGCAACACATGCTTTGGTTAATTAATACTAAATAAAATCTCATAGATGAGTTCCATTGTTATCAATCGTTATTGTTGTAGAAGAATGGTTAATGGACTCATGTTGCATACAATATAAAATCATAATATTTTTTAGCAATTATGATAATTATTATTATATAGATTTAAAATTTACAGAGTGAGAACTTAAAAACTATATGTAAAAGTTATTTGAAGTGGAAAACTGTTTGCTATTAATTTTACTTCACTTTATTCCAATATTAAATTTTATTAGATCTCACATAATGTGGGTCAGTTTATAATGTTTTCATAAAAAACATTATAATTCTAACAGTTATTAGTTATCCAATTTATCATAATAATTTAAAAATCTATTGACCAAATTTAACACCTCAAACACTTTTGAAATATATATGTTTTGGAGTGAAAAAAACTATAAGGGGTACTACAATTTTCCAGGTGCCGTGCTTTGCTAATAAATTTTGGTAAATTTCAATTCCTGAGCAGTCATTTTCAGTGTTCTTCATGTATATCGATAAAGCGTAGTTCTCGTAGTATTAAGTTTTAGAGTTGTGATGTTGTTACATTAATCACTCTGACAAAAAAAGTACACACGCCATCTAGCAGCAACTAATATTACAATTTTTATATTAATAAAGCAAACGATGATTTGACAGTTCTTGTGAAAATCCCGAAATCTCCAGAACATTGAAATATACCAAAATAAGAGTTCTTAAACCGCGGCGTTAGGGAAATGAAAATCATGTTAAACTATGTTGTTAAATAAATTGATCTAAGCTAAATTAAGTATTAAATCCCTTTTAAACGTTTAGGAATTTTATTTTAGGAGTTCAAATGTTATTTGCACCAATCTACTTATTTTTATCCCTTTAATCGTTTACAACATCTAGTATTGCATGATTTTTGTTAACACTTTAAGAACATATTCATATTGCTTACACTTTTAATGTAAATTGTATTATAAATTTAATAATTTTTAAGTATTCTAATTATTTTAGTTATAAAAAAGTAGTTAGTTAAAACACTTTTGTTGTTTTTCCTTCGCGTTTACGACGCGGTTGTTAAACAACATTTAATCGACGTAGACATGTGCCTCTGAAACGTAGACCGTGTTCCCCCTAAAACTTGATTAAACTGCATTTTGCTTTTACTTTAGTCTTAATTTTTAAAATTTAAGTTTGCATTATTTATTAATTGTATAGAAATGACAGAGAATAAAATTCTGACACTGTGACACAGCAAACTATCTTGGCTTAATTCAAATCCGTTTGAACACTACTATAGATAACAGATGTATTACTACGGTAATCTACACCTGCATGTATACAATAAATAAAAAATGAGGCTTTAAAACGATTATTACTATAACTCTACTGTCGCACCAAAACCAATTTACGTAGTTACATAATGGCTATTGCTCAAATTGAAGAGTACGGTTGTTAAGCTGGATCAAGTTTAAACAACATCCTATCTCTTAATTACAGGAAGCTTAAGCTCAACTTCTTTAAAAGTCTTATATACCGTACTTAATCTTCTTTTAATCGATTTTACATATATGACTGTGCTGCTAAAGCAACAATTAATGAACAAAATGGAAACCACATCTTCAATAATTACTATGTCTACAAAATAACTCTTCTTGCTTTTATGGTCAGAATAATATTTAAACAGACAATCCAAACAAAATAATAAGGTTGAGTTTTAAAGTTACTGCTCGTATATTATAAGAGAGATATTTAACAGAAACTGTTGTTAGATTCTGTAATTATAGCCAAGTAATGTTGCAAAACAAAATAAGCAGACATAAGATTAGCATTTGTCATTTAGATATAATGCTATAGTAATTACTTAATACAATGCAGTTCATTGTACTTCATAAATCAACACAAATAATCAGCCATGAACTGTATGGCTAATTCTCTAGGTATATACGTATTAATCAATACTTTTAAACTTATAAAACCCTCATCTCTCTCCCAAAAAAGTACAAATAAGGTGGCAAGATGAGACGTCTAATGCATAGACAAAACAAATTTGACAATAACCCAACTACCCATTTAAAATGGGAAACTAATTTAATTGAGTATAGCCGAAAGCTTAAATATTAAATCTCTTATAACCCTATTATTGTTTAATAGGTAGACCTGCATAAAGACTTAAAGGTCTTTAAAACTTTCACCTATTGCGGAGATATTTAGCCTTTGTGGGGATTAGCTTTTCAATTTTTGAAAAATTCAATTTTGAAGACTTAGAAGAATTATTAGAAATTGATATCGAACACCATATAAAATTCTCGAACAAAACCTATGGTAGTAACGCAACGTACCCACAGGCGGTCTACGTGGACTTTATAGGAGACACACTCTTAACCTAACCCAACCCACTCATTGTAATATAATTACTTTCTTCTGTCTCTCCATTTTCAATTTTTTTTAATGTACAGTTTTATAGATTTATTTTATTATTATTTTAATATATATATATTATATTTAATATAAAAAATTAGATTACTGCACGTTCGTAATATTCACGATCCCTTTGTAGTATATTAATCGAAAACTTTTGTATATAAAATCGAAAATTCTTATACTGTTTACTATATTAAATATTAAAACTATTTTTGTTAAATGTCCACAATTATGCACACAAAATATGAACAAACAAAAACCTATGATTTTTTTTTTTTTTTTCAAAACAGCAGCATGGACCCCGTGCCCTTCGACTACCGGCTCTTTGACCCGCCACCAAAGCAGCACAAACAATCAAATTCAGCAACCGCAACAGGCTGCAACTCGTCGCAATCTCCACATCAGCAACATCATCACCAGCGACAAACATCATCCACATCTTCCCAAAATTCAACCAACAATACAAATATGCCCAGCAGTGTATCCAGCAAAATTCGAGCAAAAACTACCGATAGTAATTCCAACAGCAGCGACATCTCCAATGACTTCCAATGCACACCTGGCAGCATCCCCCCCACGCATATTGTCCAATCGGGTTCATATATCGAAATACTAAAGCAAACAACAGCGACATCTACACCTAATAACGTCACCACCGCACAAGAACGTTTAAATCAAAAACGTAATATTATGCCATCATTAGCTTGCCATAATAAGAGCTATGGCGACTTTCTCACCATAACTCCACGGCGAAAGGGTAAACTATTAGCAACAAATTATGACAAAAAGCAACATCTCAGCGGTGCTGGCGTTGATGTCCAAGACAACTATCGGCACCATCTGCCACACAGCATTGAACCACTACATTTGCTAGGCATACCAAATGACAACATGTCGACATTTTTTGATTATCGCGCAATGGAAACTCTTAGCAATGCTGACACACTTGCCATAGGCTCGACTATGGCTGGACATATGTTCCCAAAAGGCAAAGCTTATGACACCAACATGCAAAACCTAAACGCCAACAATTTCATTGGCGCGCATGCTGGCACAACTGTACCAGATGAATTTCAACACATAATATCCGAAAAGAATTTAAGCCCTCCCTCAGCATTTAGTGACAACATATCTATGGGTAAAGCTTAAGTCTGAAACAAACTAGAATAAAACTAGCATATTCAAACAATATTAATCGTCAAAATAAAAACTATACCATTAGAAATTAGAAGACATTAAGGAACCATTATAGCACGAAAAAAGGATCACACAACTATCATGATCTGATCATCACAGAGAAAGTTTCCACAATTTCAGAGTACATCGATATGTGCCAATTGGAAATTCACCATAGCCGGTTATAGACTATATGAAATATTTTATTAGCCCTGAGGGTCAATAGACCATTCTTATATAAAGATTTTTAGTACACAGTTAAGTAATTATTTAAATCTGAAATTGTATTAGATTTTATATTCACTTCAAGGGACTTGTTTCTTCAGCATCTTTCTTTTTTAATTTAATTTAAATTTAGCTGCGGAACGAAAAGTTAAAATTTCACAGAACATAGACCAAAGCATATAAAACATATCGATATACAATTTTGAAATGGTAATAGACCTGATCACCAGAACTGAAATTAGAAGAATGAAGAATTCTGCATATCACATAGATCAGAATGTGTTCTCAATAAAATAAAATGTACGGTTGTGGCGTCAATGAACAAAAATGACTGTTTATACAGACTTAAAAAACACCCTACAAAAACATTAGTCAATATCTGAAAATCGATTAATATATAAAAATTATTAAGTGTGTAAATTAAAACAAAAAATCAAATTATTTTTATTATTATTATTACAGTAATAAAAAAAAAAATTTGTTATTCATATTTTATTTAGTAAAAATTTTTAAAAATTAAAAAAAAAATTAAATTGATTTTATTTTTTATTTAAAAAGTATATTTGCAAAAACTAAATAAATGTATATGTATAAAAATCTATATGTTATGATCGTCTGTGTAGGTTATATTGGAAATATATAAACTTTTTATTTATTTAACCCTTTTCTGCCAGAATTTATAGGAAAGAATTTAGGAATAGTTGAAATCATGCAATTGTTTTTTCACATAATGGTTTAACTTGAATGATTTATTAATCTGTTCGAACTATATTTGAATAATATTAATTTAACCGGGCTTAACGTCGGTGTTAGAGAGTTAAATGAAATTTCAAAATTAAAATTAAATTTAATATACTTATGATAGTCTTACCTCACTTTCGGAATGACATCTACCATATATTTTTGGTATAAAAAAAGATGGATACAACTTAAGGCCTTCGTTCAAAAGCCCGCTCAAACTCATAATAATAATTAAAACGAATGTATCTAAAGAATTATTGTATAGAGTTATTGTACACTCTTGTACATAATTTTACAAATTATCCATACAAAGCAACCAATAAATCGTAATATTAAAGATAGTAAAGTATCAATAGTCCCGACTACCGCTAGACTCTCAGGAGTCACACTACTTTAAATAGAAAAAAAAAGAAAAATTAAAAAAAACCAGACTGAATGTCTATTGCATTGACAAAGTGAACCCAAAAAAATAAGACCATAAGCCCTCATTTTAATAAATTTTTAAGACCCATATGCAGTGTAGCTTTTTATATGTATCAATTATATATTTAACGTAATAAATAGTGCTAAGAATTTTTTTTTTATAATTTTAGACGAATTATTCGATTGTTTTGAAATATATCGATAGTTGCGAAAAATATAAAACTATCGATACTATTGTTAGTGCAATCGACAATTTGCCACTACTCATTAATATTGCATAAATTGGTTTTATTTCATTCGTTGTAAGCTTTTAAGAACTATCTCGGTCTTTCAATGCCTTTTACTAACGATCTTTTATGCATTCTACAAACTCGTGATGGATTATCTTTGTTATATAGAAAATCACTATTACTATTTGAGCGTTCGTTATTTGAAAGGTTCGTTATATCGATTATTCGTGAAGCCAAGAGATTACTGTAATCTGTGTGCTTTATGAGATAAAAACACCAGATTAAATAAAACCAAAAAAATCGTAAAACAAATATTAATCTATTGTCTTTTTATAATCAGCATTTGGCATAAAAGGGTTAATAATTATTTAGAGATATAAACAATTTATATTTGTCAATTAGAAAATCATATTTTCAATAACATAATTGGTTCTTTATGATATTTTATATGGTATTTAAAACTTATAGATATTTTTTCTTTTTTTGCAAACTTTTAGCACTTTTAACTTAATTTAATATAATTAAGAATGTAAAAAAGCAAAACTGTGAGGAAATTTTTGAATCCATAAACTTAATTTTTAATTAAATATTTCAAATTTTTTTTGTCTTATTAAGAGAAGAAATCTATTTTGTCTAGAATGAAGACTAACAATGAGTAAATACTTAAATCCATGAAATTTTTTTTTAATTTAAAGACAGTAAATTCTGAGTTGATATTGTTATTATATATACAATAGTGTTATTATATATCTATCTTCAGTGATCTTTGAAAACATTTGTTGAATTATTTTCCAAATATAACTTTTAAGTTTATAAGAGTCAGGAATTGATTTCGATCAAATTTAATTAATATTTGAATTTTTAGATTTAAAAATTTCCTTAATGACATCTTAAAAATTTCTTTACTGACACCTTAAAAATTTCCTTAATGACATCTTAAAAATTTCCTGCATCTTCTTCCTTAATTCGAAGATAAATTTCTTGTCATAGACAATAGATTTTTCATTCCGGAATAAAAAATTCTTATCTAATTCTTATTCTTATATGTGTTGCCTAGGATATAGATTAATTGACATGAGACATAAGATTACTTGTCACAGAATACAGACTTTATTGTTATATTATATAGATTTTATGGCACAGCTTTTTGCTGGTGGGACATAGAATTCTTATCATAGGACATAAATCTTGTCTTTTGTCATAGCACATAGTTTTTTTTTAATAGAACATTGGATTTCTTGTAATACGACAGAGATTCCTTATTCTAGAGATGGATTTCATGACATTCGGCGTTTATTTCTTGTTACAAAACGGAGATTTTTTGTCAAATGTGATGAAGATCTTTTGTCATATAACATCAATTTTTTGTGATAGGACATAGAACTCTTGTTATAAGACATAAACTTTTTTTATTGATCAAATGTTTCATAGATTTCTTGTACTAGCGTATACAATTTTTATGAAAGAATATAGATTTTTTATTTTAGGGAAGTATTTCTTGTCATAGAATATACATGTTTTGTTATGGAACATAGATTTCTTGAATTAAAAATTGATTTCTTATTATATGACATAGATTTCTGTTGATGGCGCATAAATTCCTTATGCCATGACATACATATCTTGCTATAAGATATAGATATCTTGTCATAAGAAGTAGATTTCGTAACACAAGACATCGATTTCTTGTCATATTTATACTTATGTCATAAAATGTTGTTTTTTTTCATAGAACATAGATTCCTTATCCTCGAACACATATTTTTTGTGATAGGACAAATATTTCTCGTCAGAGAACATACTCTTTTTTTTACAGGACGTAGATTTTCTATCAGAAAGAATGAGTATCCTATCATAAGCATAGATTTATAATCCCAAATACAGTTTTATTGTCCCACAATTTAATTTCTTGTCCTAAGAATAGATTTCTAATCGCAGGACAAGGATTTCTTGTTATAGGTAGTAAATTCCTTGTCATATGACATAGATTATTTGTAAGAGATTGTAGATTTCGTGTCACAAAAGAGATTTCTTGTCACAAAACAGATTTCTACCCATAGAGCATATGTTTTTTTCTTATCAAGGGACACACCTTAATCCATGGCATAGATTTATTGTCATTAACGTATAATTTTGTAGTTATTAATAATTTTATAAAATTTTAGAGTTTAAAGAAAAAAATTTCTTCAATTTTTTTAAAATTTTATAATTACTATATGCATTTTGATTGATCAATATTGTAATTAAATGAAATCAATTTAATAATTTATTATAAAAACAAAAAGATATTATGAATACATTAATATTTTGACTGACAATTAATTAAAAAGAAATTTTAATAAAGTTCTGATGATGTTAGAATATTTATTTTAATCACATGAATAATACTATATTTTTGTAAATATTAATTAATTATGAATTTTCTATTGACTGTGCATTGCATATTTACATATCTTGAATAAATATTATATGTATGTATTAGCATTATATTATTATTAATAACATATAAGAATTATATTCTTAATAGCAACACAAATAGGTTAATAAAACAAGACAAATGTTTCATTGTTGGTTAGTTAAATATACACATTATATGCATATAATATAACAATTGATATTTATCAAAAATAATAATAATAATTAAATAGTAATATGTCATTAATAAAATTAATGTACGGATAAATATGCATTAATTTAATATATTAAAAAATTATAAATTCTATTAATTTTGAAATTATGTAAATGAAATCGATTGTGTTTTAGTCTAAAATTTATATTAGCAACATTTTATATACATTATTTACGTAAATTGTTGTATGTAGTTGACTATTCATGTTTATATGTACTTATTTATATCCATATATACATATATATATATATATATATGAGTATATAAGAAGTTGAGATAACTGATGATGAATCATGTGTGCCATGATAATTATCCAAGAAGTTCATTAATTAAAACGTAAAGAAGTCAATAAGAATTGAATCCTGAAGAAAAGTTCAATTAAAATTCAATTATATATTTCAAATACAAGGACAAACATTACAAAAATAATATATATGTATAAATATATGTATAAGCATATATTTTATCTGAATTTATAAATATAATTTTTTATACTTTAAATATGTACGACATTTTTCAAGTCAATTTTTTTTTCACTTATTAAATTATAAAATATATAGTAATAAAGATATTGTAGTCGGTCAGAACCGTACTTGAAATATCCTACACTTTTGTTTCGATCGTAGCTTAAATTAACAATTTCTACATATGTGTATATCCAAGAGAGGAGTGGAGTGTGGGGTGTCAAATTAAATTAAAAAAACTTCAAATATTAGTATTAAGAGCAAATTTGCAAGAAACCGAATTGAGTAAAACTTAAATGATATATATGTCGTTAAATAATTATTCATTGAAATCTAGTAAAAGTAATTACAAGAAAAATTTTAAAATAAACCAAATTATTTATAATATAAAATAAAAAATCGATTCAAGCATTCGCTCAATTTAATTAAATTTGAATTTCAAAAAATTTTAAATTTTATGAATCTACTAAAATGAAAGATAACCAACACATTGCAAAAATAGCAACTGTGTCTGATTTAATTAAATCAAATTAAATATAATAAATTAAGTATAAAAACGAAATCATAAGTTTATAATAACAGTTAAAATAAATTTATAAAATAATAACAATGAAGCCGACAATTGTTCCAAACGAATGAAGTTATATAAAAATTTCTAATTTAATGTAAGGAAACCATTTAAAATAAATTGTGCAAAGTTTATAAGACAGAAATTGGAATTATTTTGTTTTTCAAGAAACTCATCGATATTAAATATGTTTACATACTATTTTTTTTTTTTTTTGCGGCAAGGAGGAGTGAAATGCTTACGCATTGACCACAACCCGGTGCATCGGAAAATCAGTGCCCGATTCCCACGGACTAAGCCACTCCTCCTCATTCGTAGAGTTCTTATTCTACCACGTGATTAGATAAGTATTACTTCGAGGTAAGGTCCCTATTAGTTATTTAAGACTTTCATCGATGTGCCCTGCGTCCAAGCCCCGTTACTGGTTTACATAATATCAGTTTTAAATATTTTTAATGTACAAAATTTGTTTATTATTACAGAGGACGTTCGCAAATAAGAACTCTTAAAAATTAGTAAATCCAGAAACTGGAACTTGATTTTGATTTTTGATTTTGTAAATGCGCGTCTTATAGTTTCACTCGATAGTACCTTTCGCCGATATACGATTCCAGTAGTTTACGGTATAACTCCAGTAGTTTACAGTATCAGTCAATGTTATTTCCCTGGTTTCTTACAAGATTTTTGTGCAAAGTTCTATTCGTTTAATTTTGAACCTGATTGTATAATTTAGTGACATCCATACATACAAACATTCGCTTCTTGTACTTTAATAGATGCTTAAATGCTTTGCAAATGTATCTGCTCTTTTAAAAATGCTTCTGGCATATTTATTAAAGGTTATAGATTGCTTATTGCTTTGCGATTAGTAACACTTCTTGGACCCAGGTAGTTTAGGTTGAGAACGTCTTTCACTTCTTTTATAATCTAAATTCCTTTTTTACAAACTGATTTTCTTTTAGTTTTATATTCACTTATGTTAAAATAATTACAATTTATCGCTGAACAAGTAAAAGTTGAGTTCCATACAGCCTTTTGGAGACATAATTTTAAAGATGGAAGAGAGGTTAAAGTGTTAAGAAACCTAAACTTTACTTCAGCCTTGGTTGTCCTTTACGTTCTAATTTCACATTAGACAGACCTACAGTTTAATGAAGAAATAAAAAAATGTTTGTGCTATTTTTAAATCAAACTTGATTTTTTTAATTTAAAGTGAAGAAAGAAAATTAAAGAAAAAAAAAATTATTAAATTAAATTTACATTAATTTACAAAAATCGGACAAAACAAGAATTAGATCTATATACATATGATTATGATTTGTCATTCTTACTCTAGGGAATAAAACTGCATAAACTAAAAACTAAACTCCTTACCACTTCTAATAGATTTCTTCTCTAAAATATGGGACTTCATATACAATATCCACAACTGCGAAGTCAATTTTAAACTGAAAGCAGAAGCTTTGTTTTATTTTAATTACAAAGCATAATTAAAAAAAGCTTTCAAAAGTTTAAAAAAACTTTTAAATTTTCAACGTAAAAAACCTCTGCAATTATTATTTGTGTAAAATAAAGTTCAAACATGGTTTAACGTGAAGCTTTTCAATAATCGTGGCAACTTTTATCCAAAAGCTCCATTAAATACACAATCCTTCTTGGTTTCTGAACCACAAAATCAATTTATACTTTTCATTAAATATAAACTAAGTCCTGTGAAAGCTAAAAAGCTCTCAACAAGGATTTTGTACGGAGTAAAAGCACCATTTTGCAGCTTTTTAAGCTTTTAATTAACTTTAGTTTTATTTAGATATATTGTTTTCCTTAATAACAACCGAAAAAAATCTTGGTTTGTGTCTATTCTGGCAAGCCCTGGAATATTTTTCAACACATATGTAGCTTTTTAGAAAAATGTTTTAATCATTAAAAGGAAAGCATTTTGTGGAGGTTAGTGATTACTCAAAAAACTTGCACCGACATTCTAAAGGACATGATAGCCCATATTCTAATACCCATTCATTTGGCGTATTCTAATACCCATTCATTTGGCGTACTTTTAAACTGTTTAAATAACTGTACTGAGTCAAGGAGGAACTGCTTTAAATGAAATAAATCAGACTTTGCAAAAAAATTTTAAGTTGTTTCTATTCATAAGCAGTTCTGTTTATTTATTTTAACGGAATCCTAGAGCTTTATTTATCTTAAAACTTTTTATTGCACTAATAGAGAATTGAGCTTATCTGCTGCCATTTCTCTTTTAGTAATTAGAAGTTCTACCAATAAAACTGGATATTGTGATTATTTATTTTATTTTCTTTCTCTCTCTGATATTCTAACAACCAAATCTCTCTGATATCTATTGTAGAACCTGCTTTGAAGCATACGTGAGTAGTGTTTTCGTAATAGCGGACTTACTTTGATTCATAGACCAAATTTGTCTATAATAAAGTATTTCTGTACTGTGGTCTATCAATTAATACATTGTTCGTTGGTATAAATATTATAATATAATATAATATATATAGGTATATATTATATTTTAATTTTAACAAACTCCAAGAAGTTCTAGAAATTTCTTATATTGTAGATATAAGAAGAAGTTCTAGAAATTTCTTATATTGTAGATATAACATATCAATAGATATGTTGAGGATCTTACATGTTTCCAAATATGCATGCCCCTTTTAGCCCATTTACGCCTACTAAAATAATAATTACTTGCTTAGTTGTCAATAGATTGAGGACAGTGTATTGACAATTGAATGTACCATGGAGCTTTTATTATATCTCGAAGAACTTTGATGTAGAAGTCTTTAATTTTATTTTAGTTAAGTTCATTGGTGGGTTCTGCTTAGTGGGCAATTGAATATGAATATCAATTTAATAAGCCATAAATAACAATTAATTTATTACAATACCATATACGTAAAAAATCTACTCATTATTAAAACATACTGCTTGGACCTGTAAGGTAATTAAATATTATATTGATAAAAAATAAGAAAAATATTTTTTAATAGATAAATAAGAATATTTAACTATTTTAAGTTTATTTGTTTGATGTTGAAGCATTTGGCAATAAGTAAAATTTTGAGATTGCAGTCAATGTACTTTAAAGTTATTAGTTAAAAGCTACATTGTCATAAATCTTTATGACGTGCGGTATTTCCAACAACTTGGTAAGAAATTTAAAATAACGCCCATTTTCCTGGCAAGTCAATCGAATCGGTGCTTTTGCTATAAAATTGCAGTTCATGTGCAAAATGTGATAACCCCTTTTCTTCAGAGTCTGACATGTTGATTTTAGTTGCACTGGATCACATTTGAAGTTTACAGCACCAGTTTCGTAATCCAACATTTCTACTGCGGTCGCTTTAGAAGTTAAGCCATCTTGCATCAATCGATTTGCCAAGTCCTTAAAGTTTAAAGCAGTTTTTTCTGACATAAGTGCTTCCACATTGTTGGTGCAATTAAAGAATGGCAACACAGTAGAAAAAGCTCCTCGAAACCGTTTCAGGAGAGGCTGCAAAATGCGTTTAAATTTCTGCAACGAACTGCAATCAACAGTAATGATAGCACAAATTTTCAGTCCAATACGTAATTGAACAATGTGTGTACAAAATGGATCGAGTGGATTATAAAAATCGTCTATTATTTTTGAAATCTTCTTAACTTGCATACCTTTCTTTATAGCTGTCCGTATAGTTTCTTTGAGTGCAGCATTCTGTTTTGGATAAATAGAACCTCCCTCGAGAACAGCCAGACGTAGTCGATGAGCTAACCTTTCTGTGGAGCGGGCCTCTTCTAGGTTGTATTGTATTGCAGTATTTTTTTTATATTTAAAGACATCACTGCAAAGATTACCATACATTCTTTGAGATAAATTCATTTTGCTTCAATTACAAATTTTGTTAGACATCAGAATTTTGAAAGAAAAAAACTGACAATTTTAAGCTAACAAATATATACTTTTAATAAAATACGTACTTTTTTATAATCTATATTATAACGTAAACTTTTTTTGGCATTTAAATTAATATTATACGGCACACTTTGGTTTATATAAAAATGAAGAAATTAATTCACTTAGTGGGGTGTGCATATCAAAGAATAAATATTATGTGGTATGTATTTTACATCTGTAATTTTGGTTATTTCTTATCTCCTCCCAACTGAACCGTTTATTATAGTTTGATACTTTCACATATTAAGTCATTTAACATGGGTTGTCCCATGATGTCCTTAGTCCTACATTTCTGGACCTTCATCTTATAGTCATTTGGATCAAGCAAGCATTCTAATAAAAAAAATGAAACCTCTAATTTAATAATCAAAGTAAATACAAAGAAAAGAGATAATGGCTGAAAAAGAAAAAAAAATTAAAGAACTTGTAGGTATTTTATAGGCATGTCAGAAAGTTTTTAATTTCTGGTATAAGTTTGATAATCACTTTCAATTCTATCACTATTGCTTTTTCGGTTATTCTTTTCCAGAAGCAGAAACGAATTCAGATATGTAACATACCATTAAATAAGTCTTCGATCTACTAACAAATCCATATTATTTTAGAAATTGAACTATCAAAACTGATACACTTCTTTCAATGCTATTTTAACTATTCGATACCTCCGATCTAGTTGAGAAAATAAACTTTTTTTTAGAAATTCGACTTCTTTCATTAACATAGTTTTCTTCAAGGGTGATGTATATAATCCAAAGCTCCATTAACTTTTCGATAACTTTTTTGGAGAGCTAATATTGTGCCAAATTTATTTCTTAGTACCATATTTTTAATGTTACAAAAAAGCAGTATCTGTTTGGAGTCAGATCTTCAGAGTGCGGTGAACAATAGTGAACAATAAATAATTAAAGCACAATGTTTATAATTTTCAATATTTTTTATATACCATAGCAATGTTAACGTCAAGAAGATTTTTTTGAGTTTTTCCTCAAGACATTTGGAATAGGTGCAAAAAAAACTTAAAAATTATACTAAAGAAAGAACGGCTGGACCGTATTGCAACAAGAGCAGGTAGTGTTAATTTATATAGCCACAGTTTTCCTTTGCGTTCATTGTTTTGTTGATATTTTTCTGGATGTGTTATCGCTCCAGGGTCAGTGTTTTGGTATGTTCCCCTTCTTTGTCTATTATGTGGACATTATCAAACTCTGGAGTACGTTTGTTGTTTATCATGTGGTGAACTAGTGCTGTAGTTTGTTTTCCTGCTTTGATGTCATTCTTATGTTCATTAATCCTGATTTCTTATGTCCGTTTCGTTGCACCGATGTAATATATATTTGGTTGCAACTTTATTCTTTGCACTTTATTTAGGACACTATATTTGATTATTCCTGGATGGTAGTTGCTGTCATGCAAAATTGTTAATACATTATATTTTGATATCTTTAAGCAATCTTATGTAAACTCACTTTACGGTCTTTCAAAACTTTATTACGACTTTAGTTGTTTTCCGAATAAATCAACGCTTAATTAATGGTTCTTCTTAGCATTATCGATGTCATCGCTTAGTAAGTTACTGTTTTCTTTTAACAGAATTATTTCCCATTAGAATACCATGTATTGCAAGACTTCGGCTATCAAACCACTGTAACAAATATTGTATTAGATTAATCACAATACTTAGAGTTGAGGAGCACTTTAAGATATCACTTTTTTTAATAATGACTATTATTTAAAATATAAAAAAAGCTCTTAAATTACGGATAGAATACATTATATATTTTTATATCTTAAACTTTGCAGTTTTTCGTTTTCAAATTAAATTAAAGTACTTCTGCGGTTGTGAATGAGAAAAAATCATAGTGTGTAATGGTTGGTTTAATATCCTTACCCAAAGTGCTAGCTAATATCACCTAATAACTTAAGACAAACATTATATTCGAAAAGAAATTTTCCGCACAAACATTTTTAATAATAAAATTCTATGCGTTAGTCTCTAACAGCAATTTATAATAATAGCAGGGACATCCACTTTATTCTAATAGAAATCCAAGAAAATCCAATAGGATGCGAACCCACCGAATTTAAGACTTTATATTAAACTAAATTTATTACAAACTCATTATAATGCAATAAGGTCTTATATACTAAGATCAAATTATAGCCAATGAGAATTAAGAATTGACACTAATTATTTTTATATAAATTGTGACATATTATTATATTTATAGAAAAGAAATCAAGAATTCTGATTTCAAGGAATTGTTATCACATTACACATTTTTATTATTATTGCTATTAACCGTACTCCATCAGGAGCATTAAATAGAATCTAAAACTATTTCTATGTCTAGCTATTGTGTGATTTATTTAAAGATTTGCCGATTTCATTTGTTATCGTTCTACTCCTGGTATTACGTGGTCTTTTTCTGTGTTTTATTCTTTGAAGGTTCTATTGAAGTATTGCGTGGTATATTCCATTGTATGACTTTCGAAGAGTGTCGCCAAGCCAATTGTATCTCCGTCGCTTATCTGTTTGTTGATATCTTCTTGGTTTGTTCGCTGATGTAGTTCCATATTTGAAATTCTATGTGGCCACCAAATTCTTAAAATATTACGCAGAGTATCTGTTGGTACAGCTTTAAAGTTTTCTTTGTATTTCATTATTGACCAACTAACATACAATAGGACAGATTTCACACAGATATTGTGAACATGTATTTTTATTTGAGGAGATATTTCATTTAAGTTCCAAACGCTATTCTGGCTTTTGATATTCTGCTATCCATATCATATATATGTTCACAAATATATGTCCAAAACATTGAAAAATTTAAAAATAGATGTATATATATTTAAAGAAAAAATATTAAAAATCACCTTGTTTTCAAATAATAATAATAATAATAACAATACCATTTTACGTAAAATAACGCGGAAAGTTTCAGACGTTGTAGTGATTCATTTATATGTGAGAAATCCATATTTAAAAAGCTGCTAGATAGAACATATTTTCTTAAAGGAAAGTAGTGAAAGCATATGTGTCTTGAATGTCCCAGAATTTATAGAAAAGAAACGAATTAACATTTAAGCTAAACCAAAATTTAAAGAACCGATGTCACCATAGTCTGGATAATCTGCTAGTCAGAAATAACTATAACTACAAAGTTTTAACTTCAGGAAGAATTATAGAAAATAAATGTATATATACAAAAGCTGTTGTAACAATAAATCATTGTCACGTCGTGACAATTATAATATTGGCATAATTTTGACTATACTGACTGAAGATACTAACATCCAACGGCTTCGCTGGCTTGGTCATGTCGTGAGAATGGATGAAGACGCTCCGGCGAAAAAGGTGTTTGAAGCAGTAGTTGGCGAAAGAAGACGTAGAGGTAGACCGTGTCTCCGGTGGAGTGATCAAGTTGAGGGGGCACTAACTGGACTTGATATACGAGACTGGAGAAGGCGCGCACGCAGCAGAGGCGCCTGGGGAGACATGCTGCGTCAGGCCGAAACTCGGTAACGGGTTATTATGGCCACATAAGTAAGTAAGTAGTAGACTGAAGATACTGACATAAGCCTTTCTAGCATTGCTGGAAATGTTAATATTGTTGTTAATAAAAAAGTACTTCTATTAAGTCACGTTTTTTAAGATTTCAGTTAGATATCCTTCTTTAAGGGTGGGTGTAACTATTTATACTAACGATTCTAAAACAAGTAGTGGTGTACGCAGTGAAGTTTCTCAGAAGGTTTGAATAAATCTTCTCAGGCTTGTAGACCAATGCAGTGTTTTTTAGGCAGAAGTGATCGGTAGTAAGAAAGCTATCGCTTGTCTGGAAGGTGATGGTATGCTCAATAGGAATATATATTATTTACTATTGGATAGTCAAGCTGCTTCAACGTCCTTGACTTCAGTTCAATTTGCATCCAGGACGGTTTTTAACTGCTACACATCTCGAAATGAGATGTGTTTGCGGTGTGTTTGGTTATATGGATATTTTCGGCAATTATAAAGCAAACCAGCTAGTGAGACGGAGTGCTTCAGAAAATTACTCGAAACATCATGCAAACTGTTCCATGAGTAACTGGTTCTTTCGGCAGTGAGCTACTCGTATTTATTTCAATTAACTTAAATCAAAAGGATTGAAATAAATAAAATTTTATTATTAATATTCCTTATAACATTAAATAGATTTGTGTATTATTTTAGGATATTCAAATCTTATATGATATATAATATATATTAAATTTTTTTTTTATTTAGTATCATAACTCCACGTTACGTTATTAATATTATATTCTCAATATTAATATTCTAAAACCCTTAATAAGATCAAATAATAAACAAACAATAGATATTTTAGTCAGGTCTTTGTTTTTAGATTCAAATAAAATTGAAGTCTTATTTTATATTTTTAATCCTACGTTTCGTTAATTCCAACAGCTGTTGTTTATTTATTTAATTGCACCACAACCAAATCAACTAATCATTTTTAGTCAAAGTTTTTATGTAAACTTTTCACTCAACCGATTATATAGCTTTACTCCAAAATCTAAATATTGTATCTGATTTTTCCAAAAAGTAAAGATGTGTTTACTATGAAGTTTTTAAATACCAATCTATCTTATCATTAAATAAATAATAAGATCGCTATAAGGGCGGGATACCAGGACGACGAAGGCGATCAACAAATTTCGGGCGTCATGCCGTATTGGTGACGAAGACTAACTTGAACACAACATGCCACATGGAGTTTCGTTGTCGTGACGGTTCTAGCGTTGCAATACATTATCCCTCGTCGATGATATATCAGATTGAACCATTGTGCGCCGTCGCATTGTATTTTAAGCGGGTACTACATATCATATTTGGTACTACAACTTGGTGTGACGTCACAAAAAAA